GCAAAAATCCTAGCTAGTCTAGCGTATAGTATTTCTTCAAAGTATTTATGTTGCTTATACTTCCTTCTCTTCAGACTTTCACCATTTTGTTTGGATTGAACCTACCTACCCAACTACAGTCTGTACTCTACAGTTCCATTTTCAAGAGTTTTGAAGATAAAAAATCAGGGGAAAACGGAACAGATTTCAATGTAAATAACAATAGCACGCCGGTCTGTAAAAGTACATTTCCTCAGAATCGCTGCCAATACTGAAGGAATGCTTCCAGCATAATAGAGAGAATCACTTACATTATAATACTCCTCATCACCAAACCATCTTAGCAAGCTTAGTTTTCTTGTTGATTTCATGTAAGTCGACAAAATCTTCCCACTGCTTTAACCCAACATAGCCAAATATTACATCACGATTTGCAAAGGCAGCAAACTTTAAAACTTCTACTAGTTTCCTGGATTTTTCATCCACTTCACCCTCTAAGATCATAAGAACAACTTTCCTCTCATCATCTGTAAGTAACGTTAACGAATCTTCAAGTACTATTATTGCTAACTCAAAATAAATTAGACTTTTGTCTACTTAGTTTTGGTTTGTGTGTATAGTATAATTAAAATCTTAATTATTTTTTAAATTTGTTTATTAGTAAACTAGAAGAACATATACAATGCATGTAGAAATACAGATACAATATTGAAATAAGGGAAATACATGTAATAATATGAAATTACACAGATATATCCTTCTTTTTTCAATACTTTAATATACTTTTCTATTATTTACTTCTCATTTACATTTTACCCTTTCCTCCTTAAAATGAGACTAAATTCCTCTAAAGGTGAACTTAAATTTGCCCATTTTTGCATCTTCTTTCTTCAGCCATTTCCTTTACTTATAAAAACCATTTCTTTTTCTTTGTAGATATGAAATTTCACACCGGTAAATTCGCACTCATTATAATATAAAATTTCAATATGCACTATATACTTCTCAATTTATTCTCTATTTTAAATAAAAATTTCTATTATTTAGTCATTTCATGTTGTTATTATTTTGCTACTTACCATATTCTTGAATATGACCCTATTCTTAAATATGATTACGAAGAGTTATGAAAAATGATGATTTAATTCGTAATCAAAGGATAATAAACATTCTGTACAAATCTAAAACTCATGTACATTTTAGATTTTTTAATTAAAATCTATTTACATTTCTTTTAGATGGTTCTCTTACATATATCTTGCACTTTTTTTTTTTTTTT